CAGCAGGAGCACCCCTGGAAAAGAAGCAAGTCGACGAAGAATGTCAACTTGCGCACTTTGTCTAATCGAATCATCAATTCAATTGCGTGTAGGGTCATATATCGAATCGGAAGATCAAGCTTGAGTGAGTGAGGCCCGTCGCTTAGCATTACGGCATCCCTTTGCTTGGCTTCTATGCTCCCCGAATTGGTGTCGAGAATGAACACTATGGAGTAAGTTTTATTGGCGCCGAGGTCGTAATTTTGCGTTGTCTGAGCCTTTTGTCGTCAGAGACTTCGACTCCGAACCGCCCATGTATGTGAGCAAGTTGCCGTGTGACTGACTAGAAGCATGCATACACCTGTTTACGGGGGGAGTGCAGAATCGCAGGTGATGTCATTCGAATTCAGCGAGTAGTTGTCCAATCGATACGGCAGTTGCGTCGCGGCAGCGGACCAGCGGCAGCGAAGACGGTGGCAGAACGAAGACGGCGGCAGCACACGACAGGGACATGCCTTGACACAAGCGACGGACGCAACTAGTAACGCGTACAGCCAGCTACAGCAGTAGCGGTAGGTTTCTGGTGGGAGTTACTGCTTTATGCATACAATCAAAGAGACGGGGGCGTTGGCATGTTGCGCGAAGAGGGCTGAAACCGCCGCGCTTCACACAGACCAAGGTGCAGTCAAAACGCAGCGGCAACGTCTCCAGCATAAGCACCGGAGCGCCGGTCCCCAGCGCCCCCACCCAGCTGTAGTCAATTTACTACAGCAGAAGGCAGTAGTCAGTAAGAGAGGACGACGACCGCTGAGCGATTCTGTTGTACAGCAGTAGTAGAGGACGGGCAAACAGCGGATGGGTGCAGCGGAAGGCTCATTAGGTGCTCACTTGTCGAGGCAGTCGATGTACAGCCAGCTCCGGTCTCCGAATGAGGCCTCTCCCACAGCTGCGAGAGCGACCCACGAGAACCATACGTGTGAAAATGGGGCCATGTGTGTGTCCCAGATGGCCAGGCGTTTGGTTGGGAAGCCAAAGCAAAAAGAGCAACAGGGGTAAAAACAAAAGCCTTGGAAGCCAGCGCGGCGGGGGGGACGCAGTTGCGAACGATTGACCCCTCCGCCCAGATCCTGGCATGCTGGTGTTGATCACAGACAGCGAACACGGGGACCAACTTTTTCCGACCTGTGTATGCCTTTGCCAGACAGAGGCAATCAGCAAAGAACTGGTGAGAAAGAGGAACCTGGGCACGCGGTGCTTCGTGCGTACAGGTTGTGGTGTCGGGTGGTAGACCCTCCCGATGATATCCTTCCCTGAACAAAGTTTTGCATGTTGAAGCATGCCTGTGGTGTGCCGCGTAAACTGAACATATTTTTGCGCGAGGCAGGGGGGAAAGATCGGCCACATGTTGGAACGAATTACAACCGTAGCAGCAGCAGCCACAGCAGCAGCAGCAGCAGCAGCAGCAGCTCTCGGTACACCGCAGGTCTCCCTGACAACGATGACCACACACACCCCGCCGCAGGTATGGCTTTGAGATACATCGACAACGAGATACGAGACTTCCAAGTAGGCGGAGCAGCGGTGAACAAGCGGGAGAGGAAGAGCAGCAAGGCTCGAAAGGCGGATGCTTTCGAAGATGAGCTGATCCACTCGGCATTGAGGCTCTCCCTCCAGCGGATACTTCGAGAAGCACCCCCGGTGGACGCGGCCCGGTCCAGAGATTTCTCCGTCTACACCGGTGCGTATGTAGCGAACAACAACATCGGCCTCTTTCTTCAGTAAATCCGGGTTAATTGTCTAGGTTTGCCATTGCGGGGAATCATCATGAGCGCACAGGGAGGGACAACAGCAGCAGAGCAGCAGCAGCTGTTTGTCTATTAGGCGATGCATACCGCGGCGAAACCATGGAGATACGGGTGTACCCTGAGAGAGAGCCAGCAAAGGCCATAACAGGGGTGCCTTTATATGCGCTGGAACGCTTCTCCGTGAAGTAAATGGTTGTGACGACGTTGCACCACACCGATGTGTTCGATATATTCACCGATGGGCGAAAACTCGGCACCGGAGCTTAGATTCTATTACGGTAATCTCTCGGACCGCAACATTGTTGCGATCTCGCGTCGCTATTTCACAGCAGTCTTCCCTGCGCGTAGATATAAAGCCGACCACACTTTCTCCGTCCCATGCCAACGATACGGGGACAAACGCATGCCGAAAGAGAGGCAGTGGGACCGACCGACCGCCTTGAGTGTTCCCGTGTTTGTTTGAAGAATACTGGTAATCCATGGGTGTTATTTTCATACCGCTGGAGCCAATTTAGGCATGTAGTCTGATGTTGATTGTAGCGCTTGAAATCTTGAAAAAAAACGGTTCCGACTCCTGCCCTCCGGGTGTTCAGTGGCCTCCGCGTGCGCGCCGAACGCGCGGCACGGCAAATCCGTTTGGTGGGCCGCAAGCTGCTGCCGTAAATAAATGTCTGTGCAAGTGGTGGCGTCCCCGCCCCCCCCACTCCCCCCTAGATGTACTGCTTTCAGTTCTCGATTGAAAGGGGGCAGGCTTAACTGCAGAAAGGCGTGAAGGATTTCCACGCGAACAGAGGGGGCAACCCTAACAGTCCCTCAGCGGCAGAAGAGGTAGCGAGTGTTATTTACATCCGCCCTCATGACGCACCGCTTTTCAACACACGTATGTCCGCGGGGAGAAATCCAGCGGTCACTACGTTCGAAGTGTAGCCTACGTTGGGTTCTTCTGACACGTTCCGCGCTAACGTACATAGATATCGTCGAAAAATAGCGACAAGCTTGTTGTTATTGTCGATTTTGGGTGCGTCGTGTCGGAGGGAAAGATCTTTCCTCGGGGCCTATCGGCCAGGTTCCGCTCTTGGCTGCGGAGCAATCGAGCCATGAAAGTTGGTAAAAGGTCAAAGGGGGGGGTTGTGACCACCCTCACAAGGTCGGATTCTTGGGGCCGCAAACAATGTCAGGCCCGTCCCATCATCAATTATTTGAACATGTGTGCCGATTGTAGATGATTTGTCCAACAGTAGTGGCGAGCTTGGTTTGAGAAGCGCAAGGACAACGTCAACGCCGATGAAAGGGGGGGGTGTAAGGGGGGGGGAGATTACGTGCCCTCTCTGCCCGGGATGGGAGCGCTATGTGCATGATCCACCTCCAATATATTCTNGGGGGGGGGGGGGGGGGGGGGGGGGGGGGGGGGGGGGGGGGGGGGGAGATTACGTGCCCTCTCTGCCCGGGATGGGAGCGCTATGTGCATGATCCACCTCCAATATATTCTTTGGCGTGTGCATGCTGCTGTGGCGTCTGCACAGGATTATCTGTGATACTAGTACTTATTGCCTGTAGCCCCGACGTATCGCTCCGTCGCCAACGAAATTGTAGGGGCGTACTCTTACGTTTTGCATGCATGCCTTAGCGGTTAGACCATTGGTCATGCGTACACGACAGGAAGGAGCATTGTTCCCACAGGACCGAAGATCACGGATGGCCGATCGTTCCTTCCTACTTCGCCAAAAGGTGGCTCAGAAATGTTTTCCCTGTGCCCTATCTACTCTATCGATATCATCACATCCCGCCTATTCAGCCCACTTCTTACACCCCAGTTATTTGCTACAGTCTTCGCCTGGCTATTCGTCGGGAGGGGGGGGGGTGGGTTCACTTATGATCATCATGCACGCGCGTGCAGGAGTTCGATTCCGTACGCGTAACCTTCTTGTCCCGTCTAAACAGGGACAGCGGGCTACTGCCTCCTATTCCTGGTGCTCCACTCCAGAGGGATTGGGTTCGGCGTGGCTGGGCGAGCGGGTCAGGTGAGAGAATGGACACGACACCATCACCGCGGACATCGTGTTTCCGTTCGTATTAGAGTAATCATTTGTGTGTGGCCTCGTTTTTTGTGACGTGTGGGCTTCAGGGGGATTTCAATGATTCATGCTTATTTGTATTTTTGCCTTGGCTGGAATCTGAGTATCTCCGTTAATGATTGGGCTCATTTTGCTTTGATAGTTCAAGCTGTCGCTCTGCGCATTGTTGTTGCTTCCATTGATGTTGTTCGTCGGTTTCGACGAGCCCAGTGTAGGACTCCTTCCGTGAATGAATGTTTTTTCGCGATGCTGATTTGCCGAATAGACCCAAATGAAACGATACTATACGTTGCTCGGCTGTTTTGAGTTGATCGATAGTAGTGGTTCTTCCTTGGGTCGCTTGAGTTTATCCGGCACGTGTGCGCTTCCTGGGCGAACGAGCTCCGATCACGGAAGCACTCCGCGGCACTTGCTTCCTGGGGTCCTGCGGTATTGTGCAGTGCAGTGCCCGCTACCCCCCCTGGCTGCTGATTGTGCTGTTTGGCAACCTTCTTGCTGTGTGGTGAGAGCAGCAAACATCTCGGTGTCACACGCACTAGCTTGCGCTACAACGTCTCTAGTACTGGCCAGCCCAAGATGGCACGATCCACGGTGCAGTGAGCTCTCACATCAGTCGGTGGGGTTTTAGGTGGCAGTAAAGGAATAGGGTAACAATCGGGATGCGAAACATGTTGTTGAAGGGACTTCCGCATCATTCATTTGCTGCGCCAAAGTGGCGACACAACTTAAAAATAATACGGAGTAGATAAGGCCCCGATGGTCTTTCGTTTTGTCCTCTCTAGACACCAAGATGTTGCCAATACCCAGAAGCACTTGTTGAAAACTTCGACAACGAAATCAGACTACCGTGTAAACACCATTAAACGGCATGATAGCAAGAATCACACGTGGTGATTTTTGTTGGTTGTCATGTTTTGCAACAAAAATGTGAACTAACAACACAGCAGTATTGACCATTGGAGTAACTAATCCGAAGGGAGCGACAAGAATTGACTTCTGGAGAAGTTTCACCGAAGGGATCGCCAACCCAAAAATGGACGAGCAACAAGAGGTGAACATTGGAGAAGTTACTCCGAAGGAATCGTTAACCGAAAATGTGAATCAGCAACAAGCAGTGACCGTTCCAGAACGTTCACCAAAGGGATCGCCAGCAGACACACCGACATGTGCTTGTATCCGTAATTTTGCTTTCTTCGCACGTAAAAAAATAATTATAAAAAAAAACAGCTCGCGGGGTTCTCTTGCCCTTTGGAGCTTGCGGCCGCCTACCTGGATGCTGCTCAGGCGTGTTTGGACAAGCAGGTGGCCAAGCGTGGGGCCGCGAACCAGGCAAGTTCATCGTTGCCGTTATTGTCGTTGTTAACGTTGTTGTTGTTGCTATTGTTGTTGATGATGATGATGATGTCGATGTTGTTGTTGTTGTTGATGATGGTGTCGATGTTGATGCTGTTGTTGTAGTTGTTGTAGTTGTTGTTGTTGTTGTAGTTGTTGTTGTAGTTGTTGTTGTTGTTGTCTTTGTTGTTGTCGTTTATGCTAATGTTGATGTTGATGTGGCTGTCGCTGTTGCTATTATGTATTGCTCCCATGAATGAACTTACAGGCCTAACCACGACAGCCTGTGTTCGGGATTTTTTTCCGTTTCCTCGTCTGTTTTTGCTGGTCATGTGTGGCGGGCCTTCACAGACTTGTCTACATGAGGCAACTCTTTGTACCCAACCTTGTAAGAGAAATATATATAGTATAATTTTGTTGTTGGTGCAGCTGGGGAATGTCTTACTAGCAACGTGGCAGCGATGTTGAGGTGTTGTGTTGCCATGATTGTATTTCTCCTCGCTAATTAGTCTTCAGGAGGATTTCGTATCGTCTTCGTCTTACCCTCACAAGAATCCCATGGTATTAGTACTTGTATGTTGGAAAATTAATAGGCATACGATTAGTTTTCGTTTCATCGGTGTTTTTTGTGTCTGTTTTCAAACCCATTGTGCTTTCCTTCTTCTTTTTTTTTCTGTCGTCTGCTTCCCATTTTTTGTTGTCTCCGCAGGGCATCACGTTCCTGACTGGCGCGGCCGGGGTCCACGCGGTTGGGGCGGCGGTCGCACAGCGCACGGGAGACACGGCGCGGTGCCGGCGACACGCCCGCGAGGTGGCGGCGATGGAAGAGCTTGGTACGCGAGAGCGCAATCCCTTCCGCATACATCCACGAACCACCACCTGCACCACCGTCGAAGGCGTTTCGCGCCAACCCCACAGTCCTTTGTTTCCCTGCTGCGTTGTCAGTCCACCCCACAGGCGCCATGTTCCACCACTACCACCATCGCTGCTCAACCTCCTGTGCTTGCTTTGCGCATACTCAAAGGGTCCTTAATTACTCCCGCAGGGTCCATAATAGCTGCATTGTCAGGCCGTCCCGTACACACTATATATCACTACCACCGCCACGAACTTCCTGTGCTTGTTTGCGCAGCAACCCCGGAGCCATTGTTTCGTCTGTAGCTTAAACGAACCGCTGTGTCACCATGCGAATGTACTTGATGTGTGTTTTTTAATAAAGACCCTATTTCAAGTTGTGCGTAAGTTTCGACAAACTTGAACCTCCATGCTGTAAGCTATCAGGTTCCCAAGTCGCCATGTGAACTCCACGGCAATCATCACCAGAAGTGATGGGCGCCTTTCATGCCAACCGTTCTCGCACGAACGTTAACGCTGCAGCGGCACCAAAGATCCTACAGTAGCGTGACAACGCGTAGCTCTTGTTGCCTTGACGAGTGTAGAAGGCAGTTAGTTCCCTTGTCGGCGCTTGTTGGTTGTTTTTTGCGCTCCCCACGTCTGTGTGTGTGTGCTTGATGTGTATTCTTACTCCACCACTCAACGAATCCATCGCTGTCGACGAATAAACGGTCCAGGACAATGAACAATGAAACAATAGTGTCAGGGGAAGCGCCAACTGTGTTTCCACAGATATTGAGTCGAGGATAAATTAGCCATGAATCCATGTGTTTGTTGTTTGGTGTTGCTCTCTTGTTTCGGCAGCCCTGTCCGAGGACGAGCTCCGATCACACGACGTTCTCAACGGACTAGCGGGATACCTGAGCGCGCTGCTGTTCATACGAGCGAACACGAGGGAGTGAGTGGCGGGCAACGTTGCTGCGACGTGCTACCTTCTTGATTTGTAACGTTTTTCTTGACTTCAGTGTCGATTCTGTTTTCCTGTTTTTTTGTGTGGTGTATGGAAGGGGACATGCTGCTCTGTTGATTTTTTTTAGTGTTAACCATGGAACACCTGCCTGGACACACCGACGATCCAGCGGGACTTTTCTGGAGCACGAGTCTTAGCTTTTCCCGTTTGAACGGTATGGAGTGTGCGTATATTCAATGAGAGCGCCTCGGCTGTCTGGAAGCGAGGGAGGAGTTTACAGAGATAGCCGCTTCAACAACATCAAGCTAATCCGACTCGAGCTAACCCGCCGCGTTGCCCCCAGACACCCCTCTGTTGTTTGAACTCTTCACCGATCTCTTACCTCGTTTCTGTGTTTCTTGCGGATGGGTCACGAATCAACCAATCAGAGACATCGGCGAGGAGGAGGTCTCCGACCAGCTGCTGCTGCGGGTCGTGGACCGCATCGTCTGCGACGGGGCCGAGGCCCCGTGCGAGGGCCGCTGGAGCTCCCCGAATTCCCCCTCCGCCGCCGCTGCCGCCGCCGCCGCCGCCGCCCCGTTGCACGACGACGACGGTAGCGGTAGCGGGGGTGCCTGGCAGACCGCCGCCCCGTCCTCCGGCAGCTGCGCGGCCGGCGACGGCGGCGGTGGCGGCGGCGGCAGCGGCAGCGGCAGCGGCGGGGGCGCGGCGCGTGCGGACACCACGGGCGGAGACCACGGCAAGAAGAACGGCAGCAGAAGGTGGGGGGGTGGAGCAAGTCAAGGGTTGGGGTCGAGCCTCCTCCGCCCCCCCCCGGAGGGGGGGGGAGCGTCGTTGGGAGGCGTGTTTGTTTTTCGGTGCTTGCGCGGGATGTGGGGTGCGGCCGTTGGCACCGCAGCTGAGCTTGTCTGTGTGATGGAACCCGGGAGGGGTTGTTGTTGTTGTTTCTATTGTCCGCGCGCTCGAAGCCGTTCAGATACCGTTTGTCCAGCGAATGCGTACCACCTACGACCCGTACGGCCCTTTCTTCAGGCAAAGGAACGAGCGTTCGTAAATTGCGGGGTTAACCCATTCACGAGGTAGATGATGCAAAGACCTGGGATTATGTAGGCCGCCACCTCCACCACATGTACCTGTTGCCCAACACTCAAGCACGGTGGTAAATTATAACAAGAAGTTAGAAGTCGTAATTAATGATAGCCACAGCTGAGGATACGGGTCACCACGATTGACCGGGTGTAGCTTCATGTTGCTCTGGCGGCAGGAGCAGCGAAGGACGGCGGCGGCGGCGGGGCGGCAAAGGCCGGAGAGGCGGCGGGGGCGGTGGTTCCAGCGGGGATAGCACCGCTTCGGCAGGCGCTTCCGCCGCAGCGGCAGCAGCAGCTGGCGAAGACGCATCAGCTAAGGCGGCGGCGGCGGCTGCGGAGGAGAAAGCTCTAGCGGAGGCGGAGGCGGAAGCGGCGGCGGCGGCAGCAGCGGCCGAAGACAAGGAAGGGATGGAGTACGGAGGAGTGCTAACATACGAGTGGCACGGGAAGATGTACCTCGGGGCCGCGCGGGGAGTCTCCGGCATCCTGTTCGTGCTCATGCAGGGTGAGCCACTTTTGACGACAACCACCACAACAGCAGCGACGGCGTCATAAGTATTCGACGGCACCGAACGCTTAAAAAAAAACGGTTTCGTCGTGCCCGGCTTTGGTGTTGCTCGGACAGTGCCGCCGCGACGCCTTCCACGTTTTGCTATTGCTTGCCCTGGCGTTTGCTCGACCATATACCGTATATGACACAAGATAAAACACCCCCTTGACCAATTTTCGAAGCTCGATTTCTCAACTGCAGGAAAAGTCACAGCGCCGAAAACGGCGGCGTTAAAACCGTCTGGTCGAGAGCTTTTCGAAAATGTATCGTTTCGTTTATGAATCANGGTTTCGTCGTGCCCGGCTTTGGTGTTGCTCGGACAGTGCCGCCGCGACGCCTTCCACGTTTTGCTATTGCTTGCCCTGGCGTTTGCTCGACCATATACCGTATATGACACAAGATAAAACACCCCCTTGACCAATTTTCGAAGCTCGATTTCTCAACTGCAGGAAAAGTCACAGCGCCGAAAACGGCGGCGTTAAAACCGTCTGGTCGAGAGCTTTTCGAAAATGTATCGTTTCGTTTATGAATCATCTTCGTCGTGGAGTAATCAAGCTTTGAAAATCGGTCCAGGGAGTGTGTTATCTTGTGTCATATACGGTATTTTGTTCGGTTCCTTGATTCGGATGTATGCTATGTACAGCTCTTTTTGGTCCTGGTGAACATTTGGCCGTATATCTTGGGTGCCTCATTCGGATGTATGCACATGCATGGCCTTGACTTCAACCCCGCGACCTTGGCAACCAACAGCTCTGCAGACTGTGTACGGAGGTTCGCTATTGGTGGGAGCGAGGGCCAGTGACGGTTCCGACACAGAAGCCCTTCCGCCACAGGTATGTACTGTACCTACTAAACTGGAAAATACGGTAATGCACTAGTTCACGGCTGCGGCTTTAAGAGAGGGTCGGAAACCAAAGGCCCTAGTAAACAAATCGAAAGTACTCTATTAGACCTGGTCTCCAAGATTGTAAGAGCTTGTTTTAAGAGAGGACCCTCCTCAACGTTAGCCGAAGGCCACGCAACGAGCCCTCACACTTGTTCCTCGATAGAAGGCACAACGCTCCGTGCCAAGAGGGATGCCCGGGGTCCAATATTGAGTTGACTAAAGGCAAGGAACCCCCCCCCCCCCTTGGGAACGTAGAACTAGAAAAGGAGTTCACTGAGGACGAGGTTGAGGCGTGTGTGAACAAGCTGAACTGCCACAAAGCAGCAGGAGCGGATGGGATAGTCAACGAGTTCATGAAGTTTGGGGGGAAGGGGATGATCCAGCTGATGGTACTGCTATACAATTGGGTGTGGAAAAACGAGTATACGCCAAGCAGATGGAGGGAAGGAGTGGTTGTGAACTTGTTTAAGAAAGGAGACAAGACTGACCCAGGAAACTACAGGGGGATCACACTGTTGAACACAGTAGGAAAAGTGTTCTGTAAGCTGCTGAACGATAGGATAGTGGGAGTATTGGAGAAGGAACATAGCGTTAGTGAGGGCCAGACAGGTTTCCGAAAGAAGAGGGGGGTGCGTAGACCACGTATTCACGTAGGGAGAATCATCCAAGGTAGAAAGAGGGCGGGAAAGCCGACGTACTGCTTCTTCCTGGACGTGAAAAAGGCATACGACACCGTATGGAGAAATGGGTTGTGGAAACAACTGTCCAAATACGGGATCAAGGGGAAAATGTGGAGAGTGCTGAAGAAGATGACAGAGTGCACGAAAAGCGCGGTCATGCTAGACGGAGAACTGTCAAAATTCTTCGACATTGAGCAGGGGGTCCCACAAGGTTGCACGCTGTCCCCAACATTGTTCCAGGTGTTCATCAACGATCTGTTGGAAGTCGTAGAGGCAGTCCGGAAGGGAGTAAAAGTAGGGGACACGGAAACGTCGGTTTCAGGAATGCTGTTTGCGGATGATTTTGTCGGTATGTCGGACACCCCTGAGGGACTGCAACTGCAAATTGACGCGGCGAAGAAGTTTACTGATAAGTGGAGATTGTCTGCCAACGTTCAGAAGAGTGCCGTCATGGTTTGCAACGAGAACAAGGAGGAACCAGTAGAACATAGATGGAAGTGGGGGATCGAGGAGATTGCAGTAGTGGACCAGTACACATACCTCGGAGTAGAGATCGCAAAAGACTGCTCGTGGAATGCACACATGTCCAAGGTAGCGGAAAAGGGCAAAGCACGAGCAGGGAAGCTGCACCCAATACTCGCAAACCGGCACCTCGATACACGCATCAAATTGACGGTTTTGAAGAGCGTAATCGTACCGCCGCTAGAGTACGCCGGAGAAGTATGGGAAGGAAATAAGAAGGTAGTGAAAGAACTCGAGGCGGCGCAGATGAAAGCAGCGAAAACCATCCTAGGATGCTCCAGGCGCACAAGTAATGCAGCCGTGAGGGCAGAATTGGGGATCCAATCCCTACGGTCGGGAAGAGACGCGAGGAAGCTGACCTGGCAGTATCGCATGTGCGGGATGGGAGAGGAGAGGTTGCCGAGAATTGTATGGGAGGCGAAGTGGGCAAACAAAAAGAGGGGTAGACAACCCACGGAATGGGTCAAGGTTGTAGAGGACGTATGGAAGGGGCTCGACATCGACGAAGATGAAACGCTGGAAACGGAGGGTCTACAGGGGTTCAAGGAGAAGATATCTGTTGCTTGTGCCGAGAGAGAAGAACAGAATCTGAGGAAAGAATCCAAGGATAAGGAGGGTCTAGAAGTGTACGGAATGTTGAAGGAAGGAATAGGGTTCAAGGACTACCTACATGGACCAATGGATGCAGGAACAAAGCTTAAGGTCAAATTCAGGACCGGGGACATAGGCCTTCGAGAACGTCGACGAAGACATAGGACGGTAGACGAGGAAGACGACGAGTTCAAATGTGATTGCGGCTTCGAATGCGAAGACCGTGTTCATGTAGTCGCGGAATGTCCGTTGTACAAGAAGGAGAGGGAAGTGTACGTGACTGAGCTGGGAAAAATAGATGGAACGTACAGGGAGGTGTTTGAGGCATGGAATAGAGAGGAAAGGACGGTAGCTGTACTGGGGCATAGGAGGTGGGTTGAAAAGGCGGGAAGGGATATCGTTAGGATAGACAGACTAGGGAAGACATTTTTGAGCCACCTTTGGCAAAGTAGGAAGGAACGATTGGCCATCGGTGATCGGTCCTGTGGGAACAATGCTCCGTCCTCTCGAGGACGCGTGGTCAATGGTCTAACCGCTAAGACATGCAAAACATAAGAGTAGCCCCCCCCCCGTCTCTCTTCCGCGGTGCCTCGTACTCCCGCGTGATGTGCAGGCCGCGGAGCAGCTGTACCTGATCCGCAGCACCGTTGATGCCGTTCTCAACACGGTCCTGCCGGAGGGAAACTTTCCTTCGAGACCCGTCAGCGCTGACGACAGGTGAGCGTGTGTGTTTTTATTATTAGCGTCGACCGCACTAACCTGCTGACCAATGAAAAGACGCCAGTCTCAGTGCGGCTGAAAGCACAAAACAGTTATAAATGTTCATGAACTTTGCGTGTGTGTGTCTTTTTTATTAGCTTCGACCGCGCTCACCGGCTGACCAATGAAAAGACGTCAGTCTCAGTGCGGTGGAAAACACAGTGCTTCTATAGGCCACGATCTGGGACCCTGCGACTGAGCGTCATGGGGGAGTCTACGCTACTCTCCGGATTGAAGACACGTACACTGAATCAGGAACAGAAGAAAACGGCACGTGTTTCCCATGGCACGCGTGTGTGTGCATGTGCTGCGCGCGTTGTTTGGAATAGTTAGCACTGGCCACGCCATTTGTGTTCACTGACAACTGAATGGAATGCATCTTGTTCGGGGAGAATCGCGCGACAACTCTTTCTACGTACTGTGCATGGGATTACCCGACGAGGGGAGAGCGCAGAGGGGGGCCGGAACGTAAGGCGTTACCCGTATGTACTGTATGCGTTTGGGGTGCACAAGCTCGTCATGGTTGCCTCTCGTTGGGCTGCTACTGCTTCGGCCGAAGCGTGTTCTTTTGATTCGCTCTCTCCTCTCTTTACGTACCTGGTGGTTCCACGGTCCATCTGGGTAGTTCCGATGGAGTCTTTGCGGCTTTAAACCGACCACGTTGTGCCCAAGCCGGCTAAACACACGCGGGTCGGTAGGATTCATTTCACCCTTCACGAGACTCCGGCGAAAGCCTCGGAGGCTCTCTGCGGTTGATGCTTGGCGAGCATGTTCAGCAATTACTCCGGAATCCTTATCTGCTTGCCGGCTTGGTAGAGTTGCGAGCGACCCTTCTTCTCGAACGCTACAGTACAGCATGCCACATGATGACAAGCACCCCTTACGTACCGTCATTGAGGGATGCGAGGTCTATGTAGTATCGACTACGGCATGCGTTTAAATCAGTA